TGTCTTAACATTATTGCAGTGAAAGGAGAAGGAAAACTTGCCTGTGTAGTTCAAAACACCGATGACAAAACTCTTCAGGTAAAACTCGGATGTGACTCTTCGGAGCCGCGCGCAGTAGCTTGGGGGAAATTTCGGGACGAAATTCATTCTTCTGGGTAAGTACTGAAGGAAATAAGCAATTATGAGTCAATAATGCTATTAAAAATAATACTGCTCTAGTTTTAAATCTCACCTATCGCATTAAAGTAAATTGTAAGCCTACATTTTTTGAAAAAAAGAGGGAAAGAGGGAGTTAAGCTTATGTAATTTACATACTGTCTCGTGACTCAAAGAGTAGGAAATAATAATAATACAATCGTGGACATAAGTGGTGGTTGGAAAGTTTGTGAAAATTATTCTCGTTAAATGCTTATTTTTTTCTAACTTAATTTAATTGCACATATGGCAGACCAAATGTGCAAGTTTCCAGCAGTCAACACTTATTTCCATCCGCCAAACTGACGTTGAAGATTAATGATTCGTACAGAAAGTAAGGGTTAGGGTTAGGGTTGTTGCTATATATATTCAAATCAAACCATTCATTGTCATCAAATCCTTGGTGGTGTAGGGGTTAAAGTGATGCACTGCAGAGTTGATGCTCTGAGATCGAATCCTACTCGTGCCATCCTGAATTTTTTTGTTTCTTAAAAATTGAAGAGACTTCGACTTTATGAACAGAAATTTCAAGAGATAAAGAAATTTCATGTAAGAAAAGTGAATGTCTTGTGAGATCCACTGGGAGGAAAATGTCAGTTTGGCGGATGGAAGCAAGTGACGACCGTTTCCAGCAGAATATACAACATTTAATTTTGGAATGGGGTCAGTGTTTGTTCAAGAATAGGGGTCTGTGTGACCTCGGAGTCAACATGCCCGGCAAGTGGACCTTTTGACCGCTCAAGACACCATTAATATAAAATCTGGCTGAACATTGTCGGTTGACTGGCCGTTACTTTGAGCCCTGGTTCGACTGTATCTTCATGTACCTTCCCAAGAAGTTTGAGAAAATATTGAAGGGCAACAGTGCAAGATGTCTTTTTAAATCATAACTTGATATATTAAAGATTATTCCTTTGTTCATGGGGAAAGGTCAACGTTTCAGAGAGCCTGCAGGGTTTCAGTGGATGCCCATGGTCTTTGATATTTAAACCCTATTTCAGGAAATCTTTAAATTCAAAACGATCACCTCAACCTGGAAGTAGGCCAATTTGGAATACCCAGCTGGTTAAGTAAACGTGCAATATCATTCTAAAGCTTCTTGCATCTAAGGTTGAGATCAAGTGCACTTTCCTTTTTTCAGTAGACTGTTATAATTATGTTTGGAAAATTTGGTGCAAACAAACAAATATTATGGTGAAGATGAAATTTCCTTGATAAATTGGCTTGGCCCAACTTGTCAATTTCAACGGAAACTCTTTACACCATTATTTTTACGTACATCACTTCCTTTTTTTATTTAAAGACTAGTACTTACCATGACACGACTATCTGAGTCGGTAGCTTGGCCGCAGAGTGGGAGGTTATGGTTTTGATCCACTGTGTCAGACCAATACTGATCAGGGTCTTCAAAAAACCTAGAAATGAAGGTACTGCCTTAATTTGCTTTAAAAGGCTAGACCTATGCATGGCTCGAATGACCACCTTAATTTTGAGGTCCCATCTCCAGTTGGAGATGCAATGATGGTGTTCTCAAAGTCCTTTGTGTTAAATAACACTCAAAGTGCATTTATTTTGTAATAATATCATTTAATTTTTGTGATAGATGGTCATTCCTTGAGGTTCACTCAAATGGCTCGTATCCAGATATGACTCAGGCAGTGGCAGTGGGAATGACTGAGGGATTTCTAACTGGAGAATTGATGTACAAAGCTTATCAAAACACCCTGGCTGGTTACTGTGATTCTGAGCCAGAATTCTGCATGAAGCTTGGCAGGTTTCTTGCTGAAAATCAAAAATGGATGATGGCACAAATTTCTAGTAACCCTGGTGACAAATATTGGTACCAGGTCAGTTAAAGTGTATACTGCTTTATGAGCAGGGTTAAAACATAAGGTGCAGCTAAATGGTTACATAGACTTTAACCAGTACGAACTGTAAGTTTATTTACTGATGACTTAGAAAATCTGATGTAGCCCTAATTACTATTACACTAATATTGACATTTGGGCTACTAAGGGAGATTTAGAGTCATGTTTACAGCAAGTAAAGAGCAAATTTCAGATCCAATTTTAATTTTATGAATATAAATATTAGATAAAAATAATTTGTAGAAACTGTGAGGCATGGTTTAACAATTAAAGTAGCTATCGGCTCCATCCCTAAATGCTAAAAATAAAGTTGCAACATAATGAAAGTGAATTATACACTCTTATAAATAGGAAAAGCAAATAAACGGACATGTATAGATCTACGTGCATAGCTTATTCAATTAACCGAAGATATATATTTTAAAATAGTACTACAC